ACGGTGTCGAATAATTAAAATAATAACAATAATAAACCAAAAAGACAACCCAATGTGGCCGCACTTGGTTATGTCGAACCTTCAATGGCTCCATAGTTTTTTATTCTTCTTTATGAAGGGAGATTTTGGATCTTTTCTGAGAATGTGTATGTACAAAAGCTCCACATAGCCTTCCATTTTCCTGGAGCAGATGGGTTTGTTCAACTTGCTAATAATAAATCTCTTGTGGAGGATAAGAAAAAATGATTACATTTTTCTAACCTACATTATAGATGTACACAGGAATTTGTGTCATCCAGCCAATCATTTTATCTGTTAGTAATGTAGATAGACTTATTAATAAATTCTGCTGTTAGTGAATATAAAAATTGAAATAGAGATATTAGAAAATAAAACCTATTATACTAAACATGAAACACTGATATTCAGATATGTGCAGTAACATATACATTTATCTGAAAGGCATACTTATGTAAAGAAATGTCATACTTTTGGGTTATTTTTTAGAATATGACATTTCAATCTAAAAGTATATATATATTGAGAAAGTACGACTGCGTAACCGTTAGACTTACTTAACAGTAGTCTTAACTGTTATTTATTAGTTGATAGAGGAAATGTTCAAAGTGAAAAACCATTTGTATGTACATTTTAATTAGGCATTAAAGAAAATACTAAGAAGAAGCTACAGACTGTATGATCTTTGATTTAGCATGACTTGCTATCTGTATTACTTTTGAGTTGCGACTATAAAGATATAAACAATACAAAACTTTATCAACAGAGGAGGATAGCAACATACATGGGAACACAATATTAAAGTCTCTGGTAATATTATAACTTAAAGAGGAATCGAAACTCAAAAGTAAAAATTTGTAACGTGACAAAATGTAATTCTTCATACAATGATCCAATTGTATCTGGTCACTCATGGCTAAAATATTTTAGAGCTCATCCAATGAAATTGGTTCAAGACAGGCTGGAGTATTTGGAGTTTAGTCAGTTTTAGAAGAATTCAGGCACGATAATTTTGTGGGGATACCTATGTGTACATTAAGTCCAATTCATGAGTTTTAAAAATGAAAAATCAGAGAAGGATATTTTTTTCACGAAAAGATTCCTTTTGAAGAGCTCAAGGTCAATCAAGACGTGCAAAGTTCACAAACTGCATGTGCATATATCTTACTAGTGATTGTGGGGATGTACAAGTTCATGAATCTGCGGAAGGTTCACTATATATGGAAGAACACAAAGAGTAAGCTAAGCACCAAAAGTCTTCATTCGGTGATTTTTCATGACCGGACTCTGAAAAATCATTCGGTGATTTTTCATGACCAAAAGTACGCGATCACACCAAACACTTCTTCGAATCTTTTACACATATCGAGAGATTGCCATGTGATGAAATTGGTGAGATACTATTTGACCATCATTTGGGATATTCTTGACAGTCACTATAAAGTACAAATAATTGAGATATGAATCCTTAGACATAGCAACTAATTTACTATAATGATGGGTATCTCCCCAAGTAACAAAGCTTTTCTGCGTAGATAAGATAATATGCAGCAACATCATAATTTTACTATGGTGGAGATGCAGATTGATATCGAAAGACAAAAAACAAAATCAGAAATAGCTTTTTCACATATGAATGTAGGCCGCTAACACGAGCATTAAACAACTATCCCTATCTGAACGACTGAACGCAAACACAAACATTCATATTCCTTCCCTCAACATAGCAGCAACGAAATATTAACAGAATCCTTAATGTTTGATGCCAATATCATAGTGACATACTTACATGTCCATGGTAATAAAGTTTGACCTATATATGTCCCGAGCAAAAGTATCCCACACAAGTCCTTTAAAGCCCGAAAACCAGCAATTCAAAATACGATCACTCAGTCTCATAGTACTCCATCTCCTAATCAACTAATCCAAACAAAACAGCTTAAGAGTATATATATGTTCATAATACCTAAAATTCTTCACAAGTAGCGCATCAAGTTGGTGGGGGTCCCCTGACATGAAATGGCTCACAGTACAAATTGAGGAACCAGAACATGAGCACCACACAAATCCCCATCACAAGAATATAGAACACGATATTGGCCTTTTTAGATAGAAATTTTTTCTTGAGCCATCCACTCTCTTCATACTTAACTCCATTGATCTCCTCGATGATGATGCTAATGAGTGCTTTCAGAATCTTCTGAGAAGAGCCAACATTCTTCGATTTCGTGACCTGAATTAAAGCTTCCCTTAGATGCTTAATCACCAACTCTGCCTCGGCAGATTTTATCTCGTCGGGAGTTGAATCTGCACCAGGATTTTCCCATTTGGCGTCTGAGGCATTAAGGGATACGAGATCGTCTGAAGTGACTACGGAGAACTGTGATAACACTGGGGAAGTCAGGTCTGAGATGTCCTCTTTGTTTGATGAAGGAGTGTTCATTGAGTCCATTTGTACAATGAAGTTCTGAAAGCAGAAAGATAATGTGACTGTTCTGAAACTAGTTATGGAGAACATATAGTTACTTATATCAAGAAAAAAAAAAAAGACGAAGCATATGAGTTAGCTGTGATGTGTTCGAGCTACAAATCAACTACGAACAAAATCGTTTCCTTAGTTTATTCCTGAAACAAAGATCATGAGTCATATTTTTAAATCATCCACATGTTTGGGATTTGATAAATGAAACGCTGGTCTGTCTATGCTTGCTACTCGGAATAATTTCATAAACTTATTATGTATGATAAAAAACAAATAATGAATTCTCACTTCCTGCAATGCCTATGAAATAAATGACAAAGTTCTCCATAGCACATCCATAAACATCAAATCAACTAGATAATGTGCTATTATATATTCTATGAATGTGTCCTCCAATCAAGGGAAATGAATTTTTAACAGCACTAGTCAACAGCAAAACGAACAAATCCATTTGCAGAAAAGCTTAAGGCCACTGTAAATCTGTAGCAAAATTCTCCAATCTTCTATTGGAAAAATAAAATTACACTGTCGAAAGTGCTGGAAAATCCAATAAGATTGTTCAGCAGAAATTAGTTCACCATACTGAGTACATCAAAATAAGCAGGTGAAACATAATCACAGATACATGAACTGACTATAATCCTAAAATGAAAACAGAAGATCAATCAGAGCTACCTCAAATGATTCAGGAAACGGATTATCATCTGAAACCTCCGAAACTTCCATCAGAGACTCCACAACAGCAGATTCATCTCCAGATACTGCTTTAAATGCAGGACTCGGCTTCTTCTTCGAGGCCTGATAACCATTAAAACATAAATTATACGATTCTCGCATCTTTTATGAAGATTTGATGTTTAAACCTCTACCTGTCAACAGCGAAAGGAAAAAATCAATTTTCAGAAAGCTTAAGGCCACTGTAAATCTCTAACAAAATTCTCCAATCTTATATTGGAANACTGCCGAAGGCTACTGGAAAATCCATTAAGATTGTTCAGCAGAAATTAGTTCACCATACTGAGTACATCTAAATAAACAGGTGACACATAATCACAGATACGCCAACTGACTATAATCCTAAAATGAAAGAAAGAAGAACAAATCAGAGCTACCTCAACAGATGCAGCAACCGGATTATCATCAGAAACCTCCGAAACTTCCTTCAGAGGCTCCAAAATAGCAGATTCATCTCCGGATACTGCTTTAAATGCGGGACTCAGCTTCTTCTTCGAGGCCTGACAACCATTAAAACATAAATTATCGGACGATTTTCGCATCTTTTATGAAGATTTGGTGTTCAAATCACTACCTTGCGCAGATTTTTGCTGAGGTCGGTGGTGGATTTCGGTCGGCGAATAGCAGAGGCTGGTTCTCTCTGTGGCGTTTGAAGTTGAAGGTCTTTCATTTTCGCTGCATTCGGTGGGCGCGAAATAATCAAAATTCAAAGTGCCCGGGTATGTGTAGATATTTTCCCGGAAAGCTCCAGTTTTGTACAGTTTGAGCTGGTCTTGTAGAACGTCTTTTCGGACCTAGACGTGGACACTGGGTCGGGTCGGCCCGTGGAACGGGCGGGTTCGAACCTACTGGGCCGTCAAACCAGTCCCAGGGTTTCGGGTTACAATTTGACTAGGCCAAGCCAAAAATATTGTTGGTCTGATGGCTGGTAGGTAGGGTTGTAAACGAATCAAATCAAAACAAATACTAAGATATTCGATTCGGATTCGTTAAAATATTCAAGGATTCGAATTCGTATTCGATTAATTAACGAACTCATTTTTTTATTCGTATTCGATTCGTTTAGAATATTCAAATATATGCGATTCAATTCGAAATTCGTTTTCAAAAAAATATTATAATTAAAAAAATATTATAATTACAAAAATAATTTTTATTTATCCATATATTTTTAGGGAAAATTGTTAATTAAGGATATTTTTACATTTTATGTCATAAAAATATTAAGAATATAACAATGTATGTATACATATATATTATAAACAAAATGTATACTTTATATAATTTATAAAATTTATATAATTATTGTAAACGAATCGAATTTTCGAATTTCGAATCGAATATCTACAAATTCGAATTCAAATTCTTTTAACTTTAAAATATAAAATACTATTCGTATTCGAATATTTCGAATTCGAATCACGAATATCGAATTCGAATCTCGAATCGAATAAAAAAAATTTGATTTGTTTACAAGTCTACTGGTAAGTTAGATCTCGAATCGATGGGCCACCTAATGTTTATTTTTTGAAGTCCGACCATTGGATCTTGTATATGTTTCCTAGATCAACAGCCGAGATTTGTTCGATCCATAGGTGGTGCCAATTTTTACTAAACCCTTTTTTATCTTTGAGAAAAATGGAAAATGGCCGGTCGGGACCCGAATCGGAACCGCCAAATACTTGGGGAGGTTTCGGTTCAAGAATTTGTAACTCGTTGACCCGGCGCGAAAACGAGAAGCGGGGCCCGAATATGCAAAAATCTGCTGAGCTGTAATAGTCCGTTGGATAAACTATTATAGGCTGTTGGATGTAGCTTTTGTTCATCCAACGGCTGTAATAGCTTGTAATCGGCACTGCAGTGTGGAAGGAACACCAGACTCCATTTTTCTTTTTTCGCTTTCAAAATTGGAGCGAAGAAATTGGGTAAAGAAAAAAAAATTGGGAGCGCACGAGAGAGAAGAGATTTTATGACATGGATTCAGGTGCTGGAGAAAGCTCCGCCGCAGACGATTACGAGTCCTTGATGTCGACCACTGATGCGGAGCTGCTGAAGAGCGCGTGGCGGAACGAGAAGGCGGCGCCTGAGATCCTCAAATACGACGCCGATTTAGTCCAGAGGTCCCGCCAACAGATCCAATTAATGGTGAATAAATATGATTCTGTTTTCGCACAAAATTTACCTGGAATGTATGCTGAATTATGTTTGTTATTATGTGCCTTTCTTATAGTTTAACTGATGAATTATTGATGTTTGTCATGCCTTTTGGGGGCAGTAGCAGTTTATGAACTTATATTTTACTTCGTCGTTGAATTTTGTTTTTTCTTCTGCAAATGGATGAAAAGGGCCTTAATTGTGTGTGCTTTTGCTGATAATGGAGTTACTTTCTAATCCTTTTTTTTTTTAATAGTATTTAATGATTGGACAGCACAAATTGCTATAATGTGAGTATTTTTGTGGAAATTGCACTGGAAATCCTAGTACTTTTTGTAGCTTGGCTGGTTATTGACTCTGTTGAATGTTGATTAGAGCTTTTGTTTATGTGTCTGTATGCTATGTATTTGAAGTCTTTCTCTTAAATTCCCAGCTTGAGAAGACTTGCTTTATTTTGAAATTCGGTTGTAATCCTCTTCCTTATATTTGATTCTGTTAGTCGAAGTAGCTCAATTTTGTCTTTACATTGTTGGAAAGCGTGATAATACGTTGTGTTTTGGCTTGAGCTGAGAATTGAAAACCTTTTGTACTGTTCCCTGAATTTTGTAGATTCATACGCCAAGTGTCCCTTTTTAATACGTGTTATTGAAAAGGAAGCAAACTCTCTATTTGAGGATGTTATTTCTTATGTTCTTCATCATGTGTCCATCGATTCAAAGATTTGACTGACATGAGTGCTCCTACATAGCACATGACATACTTTGCCCCGTTACAAACAAATAGGATCAAATTATACTCAGTTGTAATGAGCTAGTACTGTTAGGACATCTCTTGCCTGCACCAGGTGTTGCTTTTGCAAAGAAAAACTCCCACGCATACAGTTTTTTGTCTTTCAGGAAGAAATGGTTGAAGATTTCAGTCAAAACAGTGTTGATCCACTTACAGTATCCCTTTACCAGATGGACTTGGACAGGACCATGTTTCTGTTGAGATCATATCTTCGCACTCGTCTTCAGAAGGTAAACCGTGGGCTAGAACAAAGAATTATTGTCATTTGATGTGTACAAATTCTTTGGGATGTAGACTATTAGTTAACAGCTTTGCACTAAATTGATTGTGAAGTGACCTTACATTTCACAAGAAACAAGATGCATCTTGTCTTAAATAACAAGTATTGTTGTTCTTCACTTGTGGCAGATCGAAAAATATGTTCTCCACATACAGAAAAATGCCGAAATATGGAATCGACTATCTAAACAAGAACAGAAGTTTGCCAGGAGGTACCTTTTATTCTTTTTCTGTTCACCGATATAGGTTTTATGCGTGAAACTCTTATCTTAACACTAAGTACAGGTATGCTGGAGACATAAAACATCACCTGGAACAATCTGTTCTCTCAAAATTGCCAGATCAATATCAGTCTCATTTAAGGCAATCTGCAGCAAGTGAGGATGATGACATGGGTGAGCATAATACTCTTAGCTTCAAATTATGACCCGTCATCTGATTCTCCAAAATTTCAGCCTTTTTTTTTTGGCATTTTTTCTGAAGCATTTTAGTCCTTTTTGGATGTCTTGTTATCTATTATTTTACTTTTATGAGTAGGGCTTGCGTCTAAATTAGGGTTCAGAGAAGTTTGCTTTTAATTTATATGGCGGCGAAAGACATTGTTAATAATAGATTTATTCTGGACTTGCACACAATCAACTGTTAGATTAACCATGTTGAACATAGTCAACAAAGCAAGAGAAGAAACATGCACACTAACTTTCTAGAGTTCTTAGACTTGAATGGCGTGACACATAAAAAGACAATGAACCTTGTTAACACATGAAAATTACAAAACCTCTAACAGGAACTATGAGCCTCCAGAAGCCATTCCAGATGCTGAAACAGTGATTCATGCACAACTGCACCTATAGGAAACTATAGAAACATACATGTATGCATATATGTGATATTTAGCTATCAACGCTACTATGTTTTGCAAATATTCGTATATGAGGGTACTGGCTTAGATTAGATACCTATTTTTGGTTAAAGTTCAGTGGTTTAGCTTAAAGTTAAGGTTGAATATAAGCTCCATGGTTAAATTTGAATCATTTTGCAATGTCGTGCATTTAGTTGTTCTTGCTCGACATTTTGTACGAGTTTGTATGAATAATAGCCTTTTGCTTTATGCAATTTCCTATGAAATACTAAATTTATTTTCCAAATTTACCTCAGTTCCAGAGCCGCAGCTGGATGCTTATGTTGTATGCCGAAGCAAGAGATATTTAGGCGCTTTCCACCTTGATGACGGGTAATTTCACACAGAGCAACTCTTTAAGTTGGTTACACGGTTTTACTTTTAACTGTTCTGCTGAAATTTGTATAATCTGAAATATGACAGTGGAGAAGAACCTGTTACCATCGAGGCCGATGATTTGTATGCCTTACCATACAAGTCTATAAAGCCACTTGTAGAGAGTAAACAAATTGATCTCGTTTGATGGTACAAGAAACTGCTGGTTTCTCTAAAGATCAAAGACTTGGTGATTGAAAAGGTAAAACTGCCAAACGTTCTTGGTTGGCATCACAACAATATCGTGATTGATGTGTTTATAATTGCTGCCATAATATTTTAGCAACTGTGGGACAATCTATTTATTGATGTCCGGCCACTTGTTCTGATGAATTGTGCCTGTTATGTAGTACTTGCATATGTTCACTTTGGGAAGTTGCAATTATCTTCTGTATTCGTAGACGGATAAACATAGCATTTGTAGGTTAAATATTGAAAAACATCTGGAGTTTTGGTGTATTTGGTTAAGCTATTTTTTAAAATTACAAATGGGAGATTGCTTCATTTCATGCTTTATTTTTTTTTTTTTTTCGAATCGATAGATTGCATACCTCAAAATGGTGAATTACAAGATGGCGCTTGAAGGCTAACTAGCCTTATAAATCCACCAAAAGGTGGACTAAGGACGAGCACTAAATAAAGTGCCCTAAACTAAAAACTAAAACACAAGGAAGAGGAATTCAACCATTCGGCAGCTACAAGCGCAGTGAAATCGGTATGTGGACGCCTAACCCATACCCAAAACTAGAAACTCTCACAAGTGGAGATTATCTATCAATTAATTAAAGAGTACTACCTGTCCTGCTCGACACGAGCAACCAACAACAGACACATAGCCCAGCACACAAACCAAAAACCACAACAAACCAATCCCACGATCAAAATTGAAAGAGCTATAGAAAATTCAATTGAAAATAACGGCTACAAAAATCCTTAGTCTAGATTTGAGCTCTTGAAGTCGCTAATCAATGGAAGAAGAGGACCGAAGACGTTAGGCTTGAATTGAGGCTATCTCGGTTTGTCCGGAAAAGGGTTTTCAAGAGGGCTTTTTTTGAAAGATTCTAGAGCCAATACAAAGTATTCATTTCATGCTATCAAGCAAGACTTCTATTCGCGGAGATAATATTCATTTCATGCTATCAAACTAATTAATATTATATTTTCTTATCTACATTATCTAACCGATTTTTTTATGATACAATTAATATAATATCTTAACTAATTAATAATTTATCTAACTGAATTTATCTCTCTAACAAACTTGCCAATTTTTTTTAAATTAAAATGGTATGATTATTCTTATGGAGATAATTGACTTTTATAAAATATAAAATCAAAACCGTAAGGTTTAATAATATTACATAAAAAAAATATTGTATAAATAGAAGTGATTAATAATATATATTTTTCATTGTTTGTATTTATTTTATTTTCATAATAGATGAGATGTGAAAAATATAAGTAATTATATATAAAATAAAGCCTAAAAAAGGTTTAAAATATGAGCTCCTATGTGCATCGCACGGGATACACACTAGTTTAAGTAGAGAAAACTTAAAGAAAATATAATGAGCCTGAAATTGTGTTAATATAATAAGGTAGTTAAAACCTTTTATGGGAATAAAATAAAGGACATTCCGAGATGAAGCAAGAATACAAGATATGATAATTCTTCATTTACTACAACCAATTATTTAACAATCAACAGAGCTTAAGCCAAAACTGTAGTGATACATTACAACCAGTTATTTAACAATCAACAGAGCTTTATCCACCACTTTAACAGAGCTTATTTAACAACCAGTTATGGTATTCTAAAGAAATTAAACTTGAATCAAATATGAATCACCACCTTAACAGAGCTTATTTAACAACCAGTTATGATATTCCAAAGAAACTAAGCTTGAATCAAATATGAATCATATAAATGTAGTCTTCAAAACAACAAGCTCAAGCAATCATTTATCTCACTTGTCAACCGAGGAGCAGGAACTTGTAAGGAGGCTGAGGTGGAGACATGGAGGCGGCGAAGTTCCTACTCTCGCCGGGTTGTGGTGGGCCGTGGAGGTTGCAGTGGAGCTGTGGAGGATGCGGTGGAGAGGCTGACAAGGAGACGATGAAGAGAAGACTGAGAAGTGAACGAGGGATTTTTTCTGCTTATAAAAGTTCAAGGCCCAAATAACGTCCGCAGTATAAGTAATAGCGTAAATAGCGTACAATTTCACAAAAAAAGTGTGCCACGTTATCAAAGGCGTACGCTATTTCGAATCTGCGCGAAATTTTGAGCGCTACATCGCGTTTTCACTGAAATATGCGATATTGTGCGCGAAAATCCGCTATTTAAAACACTGATTGGCAGTAATTGATTCTGAAGATCGGTCTAGCTTACACTTAGCATCAGTAAACAAAATAACTATAACAACCAAACAAAAATTCCGAACTTTTTTACAATTATGTCAAATGGCGGTGTATAGGTTCCGAAGCTCAATCTAGCTTAACACCTAGCATCACCAATATTGTTAACTGCTGTAATCTATTCTGAAGCTCGGCCTAGCTTACTCTTTAGTATCATCAAACAAAATAACGAGAAAAACCAAACAAAAATTCAATCTTTTAGTCAAACAAACTAAGAAGAACAACCAAACAAAAATTCAATCTTTTTACAATTATGTCAAAGCTCAGAATAGTTTGAGATGCAATGAATAACAAAGTCCAAAAGATCAAACAAGAACGCATATTAACTGAACTTTCCATACAGATCCCGCAGCCTTTGAAATCAAGAACAAAAAACAATCAGAGAATGTTTGGAAAACTGGACCCCTAAGTAACTTAATCAAATAAAATTAAAATTTATAATTTTCAATGTTAATTTAGTTCTGTAGAATAATATTATATAATATATCAAATTTTTGAAATGGAAAATGTTTAAGCTAGAATGAAAAGAGCATCCAATACAGTTCAAATTTCTTTAACAGCTTATAAAGGAATGGGATAAATAAAAAAAAAATTATAATTATTACTACTGTCCAGTAATTTTTGTAACAATAATTGCCATTATCTATAAAAACCATGTGTGTTTTCTCTGAAAATGTGAAAGCACGTAGTTGAAGCAAAGTATGTCATCAAACAATTAATATCAAAATGCAAAAAAAAAGAAAAAAAAATATCCATCCACACGCACTTTGATTATTTCAAAACAAACGTACTTCAATTTGAATAGAAAGTCATATAATACAATTATACAGCCAAGAAATTCACAACTCATTCCATTATCCTACTCTAGGCAAATGAATTGAAAAATCTATATAAAATTCAAACTTACAGTTTCACGTACGTTTATTGAAACACAAGTATCAAATCCCATTACTCTGTAATATACTATCTTTGCTAAAAAAAAAGAAAGCACAAGCCAAAAGAGCAACACTTTACAGCTTTGTTATGCAGCGAGTTTAGTGGATGGAGATTTGTTCTTGACGGGTTTTGGAGGGGTTGACTTATTCCCCACAGGAAGCTTCTTACTTGCTGGCAGCTGTTCTTTCAGCTGTTGAATGCGTAATTCCTCCGTTCTTTTACGCTCCTCTTCTTCCTGTACAAAAAATAAAAACATTGTCATGAAAAAACATTGTCATAAACTATACATTTGACATGAACAATAGAAAGATTTTTTTTGGAAAAAAAAGAATGGTTGAACAGGTTAGGTGCAAAAGGCATGATGGTTAAAGGGTCTCAGCATATAATATATTAGCATAAATTCAGCTGAACTTCAAGGTATAGGCTTTGAAAATTCAAATCTTGAATGTTAAAAATCAAGATTTCAATGTGGAATTATTAAAATCACCTTCATCAACTTGTATTTCTGTGCCATTGCTGGAGACAGAATCTTCTTGCTCTTTGAAACAGAATCCATCTTTTTCACTATGTCCCTTCCAATCTTTTTCGTCGTGGGTCCCACAATTCTTTTTCCATTTTTTGCACTTTTACCATTATTCGCCACAGGATCTTTCCCATCATGACCATTCGATTCAATAGCAGAGGACTTTTTACTATCAGCTTCGTTAAAAGATATTTCCACTTGATAATCCATTTTGGGAAGGAACCGGAAGCATCTAGAACAATTCAGAAAAATGTGGAACATTGTGGAAGGTTCCGGAAGCATCTAGAACGACCCAAAAAAAATGTGGAAGGTTCCGGAATATTGTAGAAGGATTTAGAAGCTTGAGGAAGCTAGCGGAAGGATGTAGAAGATTCTACAAGGCAATAAATATTACAAGAAGGTTGTAGAGAAGTGTAGTATAGATATGTGTGTAGGAGTTTTGAAGAAGCATTTAGAATGCCCCAGACATTATATGTTCTAGAGAATTCCTTAGAGGAGGTGGTGGCTATAAATAGAGAAGACCACCTCATTTGCAATGAATCCAAATAATCCAAGCATCCAAAAGTCTAAGTAAAAGTGTATAGTTAGTGTGTTTTGGTCTTAATAAGTGAAGAGTTTATATCTTGGTCTATTATGTGTTGTGTAATTACTGTGATAATCTAATAAAGTAATTACGTAATTTACGTTAGTATGTGTTGTGAGTGTACCCAACCTTTGTGAGTGTACCCAACCTAACAGAGGATCTCACGCCGCCCAGGATTTTAGGGTTTAGGATTTTTGGAGTAGTGAAGATTCTTGATAATTTTCTTGGTTGAAATTTCTTGACGAAATGTAGTTCTTCATTCTATCTTCTATAATCTTTTCTAGTATTGTACATTTAAAGATTGTGTGCTGCCAAAATTGGAGTATAGTTAAAATTTTGTGTCAATTTGGTACGTACTAAGGAAAAAAAATGTTTGGTCTGATTACTATTATGATTAAAGAAATTTTTGTTCTTGTGCATAAATTGACTGCAAATATTGCACAAATCAAACTATGACTTTTACTTTAACCATAGTTTAAGCACAAATTTTTAAATTTTGACAAATTAAACATTTTTTATTTACTTTGATGCGTAAAGGTACATCTTTTTACAAGGTATATTTTTTTTATTAACTTGGGACGTGGAATGTAGCGAAGGCCGTATACACTGTGATAGGCGGGTACAATCTCAATGGTGTACCTTTACAAGGTATATTTTTTTTATTAACTTGGGACGTGGAATGTAGCGAAGGCCGTATACACTGTGATAGGCGGGTACAATCTCAATGGTGGCAGGAGCAAGGACGATCACTGCATCAATTATGATGACTACGATCCTTGATGAGTGAGGGTGCGGATATACAGGGACGGACCTACACTTAAGATAGGGGGGGCCATGGTCCCCCCCAAACATTTTTTTATCTCTTAATAGTATGGATATATAATATATAATATTATACATATATAAACATTTGGTCCCCCTCAAACAATAAAATAAAATATAAATTAAAGTAAATAGAATAACGTTTTGGTTTTGGAGATGCACCACAATTCCACTTCCACTTCTTTTCATTAACTTAATTTATTATTCTTGACTCTATTAAACAAATAAGTAAATTGACCCCATTCAACAAATAATTAAAAGGCAAATGAAGTTGTCTGGAATTTTGGGAGAAACTTGCGACTTACATAGGGCGACTCGACGAGCAGTGAGCAAACCAGAAATATATCAATTGAGATTTGAGTATTCATCTTTTTCCTTATATTTGTAAGTACTTTTGGTTATATCTTATTTATGATATATCTATTTTTTTATTTTTTATTCATTTAGGGTTTCATCAAGTAGAATATACAACCTTGCTATGAGGTTTTCTCTTATGCTTTAGCCTAATTCAAATAATTTATATATGTATTGAAAAACAATTAAATGATTGTTGTGTTACTTGGGTAGTTTGTATAAATTTGATTTTTAGTTAATTTTTTTATGGAGTCCTCCCATGTATGTATACAGTGATTCAAATAGTGAAATATGGAACTCCGGTATTGAGAAGTGTTTTGGGCCTTTTGGCCATCCTTTAAATTTGAAAGTCTGTAGTACAAAAGGTATGTATTTTTTTTTTTTATTACAACTTTTTTTTTAAATCCAAAATTACAACTTTATGTATTTGTTGTTAACTATATGTCTATCATGAAAAAAAAAATAAAAAAATTTGCCCCCCCTAATTTATTTTTCTAGATCCGTCCCTGCGGATATAGATGAGATTCTGGGAAACAATAAGAGACAAACAACAATGCATATTTTACATGTTTGCCATAATGTCGTCGTTTATCTTCATCACATATAAACATCATAAAGACTCATATAGCCTCTCATGTGTTCGAATCACCGAGAGGAAGTGGGAACACTATTGATTAGGCTGGCATTTTTTGACCGAAAACCGAACCGAATCGACGAGAAAAAAATCGAACCGAACCGACTCATTTAAAACGATAACCGATTATCGGTTACCGATATGTTATCGGTATGGTATCGGTTCCGAAACCATAGAGGTTCGGTTTTACAGAACCGAACCAATAAGGAATTTTAAAAAAATAATTTTTAATGTTAATAGTTAATAACTTAATATATACTCATAATTAATAATTTAATACTAATAACTAATGGGCACGGCTACAGTGCCGTGGTACCATTCCGTTGTTTTGTTTTAGGCCTTTAGATGTTGAAAATAAAAAGCAGCCTTTGGATTAATGGAAGCCCGCAATACTATGGTGTGGAATAAAACACCTAAACTTTGTCATACCTATCCATTATCAATCCACTTCCACGTTGGTTTTTTTCCACTATTTTGTAGTTCAAATAATGTACTTGAAATTATTGCCAATTAAATGGCCTTCTTACAAATTGCTTAAGTCTATGCTTATATTATTCTAAATTCGGAACTTCTTAAGTAATGAAAGAATATTTAATGTGCGTTAATATTATTTATTAATGTAGTTAATTTAAATTATGTACAACTTTTAAGATGTAAGATTGTGTATAAATATTTTACACAATATACACACATTATTTTTAGAAGTTAATTTTTTATAATAATTAAAAAACTTTGATTTAGCAATTTCTAAAAACTAAATTCATTCTATAATCAAGAGATTTTTCTAATTTGTATCATAGGAGCTTATAGTTTATTTAGCATAGTATGCAATGGAAATATAGTTTATAAGAATTTCTTTATGGAAAGAAATCAAAATAAATAATGAAAAAATAATCATAGTTGACATAATATTCAATAAAAATAATAATATATATTACCATACACGTAAATAAATAATTGAAATAGTCTTGAACCATAAATTTGAACATTAAATCTAACAAACAACATTCAAATATTAGTTCATACAAACAACCCAAAGTCATAATCTTCAACTGGAACCTTATCACAAGGTGCAACATCTTTCCGAGTTTGTGCTAAATGTTCTTTTAAACGAGTAATGCCCCCATTTGATCTGTGATGGCAAAATTTGCATTCAATGCTTCTATTCCCGTCTACTTTAATAGCATATTTCCAGCCGATATCTCTATTTGTCATCATTTAAACTGAAATGGAAAAAAAAAAAAAANGAAATGGAAAAAAAAAAAAAAATTATTAACACAAAATCATGCTTGTTCACAAATCACAATAAAGACTGCATATTATTTGAACATACAATAAAAAAACTACACACAAAATCATGATTGTGATCTAATCTAGTGCCAAAAAAGACGGTTACAATCAATAGGCAGATGACCAACTTCATATGTTCATTTAACAATTAAAACTGATAATAATTTATAGGTTAATATCTAATCTAATGTACTCGAAGACAAAACAAATTCTAAAGATGAACAAGTGAAAGTTAAGAATCTGCTGTCAAACTCCAATCACACTTGCTGTTAAGGGGCTAAAGCCCTAAACACTATCTGAAACATTTAAGTAGAGAAAACTTAAAAGAAAATATAATGAGCCTGAAATTATATGTGTATATAATAAGGTAGTTAAAACCTTTTATGGGAATACTAGTGGCCTCCGGCCCAAGTTTAGACTGTAATTGTGAAATATTGATTTTTATTTTTATTTTTGTCGGCCCCAAAAGATAATTGTTCCAAATTTGACAAATCTAACATTATCGTTGGACATGACCGAAAGCCTATAACAAAAAACGTTTGAACTGGATTTTCAGTGCACTGACATTCAATTCAAAAATTATTTCGAAAATATAAGATATGGTACCATATTATGGCCAATAAAAATGCAGTATATCTTCATTGATGATATTACAATACGGTGAAGGTCCTGTCATTATTTGGAATGACACATTCAACAGAAAATTGGTAGTGGGAAGAAATGTGGCAAACACATATAGATAAAATAATCAGGGAAGAACTCTAACTTTCTCATCATCTCTTAAACCCACACAATTAGTTAAGATGTGCAATGTATATAGTATAAAAGTGAACATTGTCTAAATCCAAAAACATAATGGAGTGAGCATCGACTGCCGAAATCCGAAATCTGTCTCTGATTCCACATATTCAAACCAAAATATTCTCAAAACTAATTCCAAGTAATATCAGACAAGATTAAGAAGCAATGTCTAAGATACAACTAATTATAACCGACAACGACAACAACGATATTGCAGCTTCGGAATGTAAATTACTCTTGGCCAAAGAATATTTTTAGGCAAACTTCCCAAGCTCAAACACCAAACATATTTGATCAACCAGTGTCAATAAAATCAAATGCAGTCACACACTAACCTCAGCCTCAGGTGTGGGGCACGAAATGTCTAGACAATCAAAGTCACATGTGGGGCATAAAATGTCTCGTGGCTTGCTCGTTCCGTACTCTTTCGCCACCAAGTCATAATTCAGGTACCACTAACCTCATTTAGTATTATTGGTGTAACTAATACCAGCAAAGGCATACTGTGAATAAACAATAGACAACGAACCATATATTATCTATCTATACTACTCTAAAAGGACGAGTATTTTTGTAAAAATATGAACTACCTAAAAAACTCTTACTTTGGCATATTTTTAATGGCAAATTAGTAATACACTAATACACATCATATTTTATATTTTTAAATATTAAAATGAATTACCTAATAAACCCTTACTTTGACATGTT